GATGTCGCGAGCATCCACCGAGCGCTTGGGAGGCGCGGAGGCCGCCAGGGCGTTTTGAGACTCCACCTTGCCGATGGCCTCGTCCTCGAAGGACTTGTCGCCGAAGCTGCAGACGTGGCTCTTGTTGGTCAGCTGGGTGACCTTCGCAATCTGCGTCTTGAAGGTTTCGGACGAGAGCTTGCCCAGGTCGTCGTCCTGCATCCAGTTCACAGAGAACAAATCACCCAGACAAGAGCCAATGTTCTTGCCCTTGACCACCGCCTCATCGCCGCAGTAGGTGCCCCAGGAAGACTCCTCACCATTTGAGGCGGTCACTGCCAGGATCTTGCTGTCATCTGCCAGGTCCGGGAACATGGATCCACTCTCGCAGGCCTCCATGTAGAACACCATTTGGCTGAACATCTTCTGGCTCTGCATGGTCTTCAGCGTCTTAGAGAGATCCTTGACGTGCAGCACGGGGCCGTTGGGGAAGGCGACAATGCCCGGGCCGCCGTGGTCCACAAAGTTCACGAAGACCGTGTCTTTCTCCGTGCTCTTCAGGACCTTCCCCTTGGCTTTCTCTGCGTTGCCGGTGAGCACGTTCATGAAAAGCTCCGCGGTCACAATCTCTCCGGCGTAGTCCACCTTGCAGCCCTTGTAGACATCAGGAGAATCCTCCCCCGGCTTGTTGAACAGCTGGCCGGGAAATGGGTTCTCAGAGCTCTTGGCGACATCATCCTGCATCATGAGGATGATGTTCTCTGCCGGCACTCCACTCTTCAGCATGATCTGATAGGCATGGCAGGCGTCCGCCTGGTGGCGATAGTTGTAGAAGCCCGCAGACCCCGCCGCGATCACGGCCCACTTGTCCGCCAGAGCGGCGGCGGGCAGCAGCAGAGCAGACACGGCGCGGAACATGGCGGAGCGAGTGAGCTGAGATAGCCCAGAGAGCCGAACTGGAGCGAAGTTTGCTTCAGCCAAAATGGCTACGGACAAATCAGAGTCGAGCAAACAAAGTTGAAGACCTTGATTTCCAAAATGAAAGCACTGGGTGAAGGCAGTATCCTCCAAAACCGCTAGGACATCCATGAAAATTCAGGCCAGATCTTGTGAATTTCAAAAACGGTCAACAGCCCTTCGCATAAGTTTCTGGGTTGATCTATATCATAAGACCGGAAGAAGCAAATGATACATTGCTGAAACCTTCACGGGGATGATGACGTGATGCTGGGTGAACCATTGTCGTTCAAAGTCGACCTTTAAAAGCTCTGACATGGGTCCAGCTAAGCACTGTTGCGCGTGCCAAGCACACACTCGCAACCAGTCTAAGCAATCATACAGTCCAAATTCCAAATATTCACTGGCAGATGGACTGCAGAGCACAGGATTAAGTTGGCAGCAAGGCCTCACTCGCCATCAGCTCGTCTGCTGAACTACACCACCAGCTGAGCGCCCCTGGCCTGGGCGCACTGATCCTCCACGATGCTTGCCAGCTGCTCAGGTGTCTTGCCCAACATGGCCTGCGCTTCGCACAGGTTCAGCAGCACCCGGGAGAACTTCATGTTGTAGCCGTTCCAGCCGCCAGAGGAGTGATGACTCTGCGAGGCAGGGCACTTCGCGTGCAAGGTGTGGGCCAGCTTGTAGTGGCAGTCCAGGTCCTTCATCTCGACGCGATCGCCCAGGAGCCCCTTGGCGCAGTCTACCTTGTTCACATCCGCGCAGGCCGTCATGGCGATGCTCTCGAACAGCTTCTCATCGGCCTCCCTGTCCTCCACGACGCGCAGGAATCGCTGCCAGGCCTTCGGCTTGGCATCGCCCTCCGCTCGTTGCCAGGCCCAGTAGGCTTGGCTCACGTAGATGTCGCGAGCATCCACCGATCGCTTGGGAGGCGCGGAGGCCGCCAGGGCGGTTTGAGACTCCACCTTGCCGATGGCCTCGTCCTCGAAGGACTTGTCGCCGAAGCTGCAGACGTGGCTCTTGTTGGTCAGCTGGGTGACCTTCGCAATCTGCGTCTTGAAGGTTTCGGACGAGAGCTTGCCCAGGTCGTCGTCCTGCATCCAGTTCACAGAGAACAAATCACCCAGACAAGAGCCAATGTTCTTGCCCTTGACCACCGCCTCATCGCCGCAGTAGGTGCCCCAGGAAGACTCCTCACCATTTGAGGCGGTCACTGCCAGGATCTTGCTGTCATCTGCCAGGTCCGGGAACATGGATCCACTCTCGCAGGCCTCCATGTAGAACACCATTTGGCTGAACATCTTCTGGCTCTGCATGGTCTTCAGCGTCTTAGAGAGATCCTTGACGTGCAGCACAGGGCCGTTGGGGAAGGCGACAATGCCCGGGCCTCCGTGGTCCACAAAGTTCACGAAGACCGTGTCTTTCTCCGTGCTCTTCAGGACCTTCCCCTTGGCTTTCTCTGCGTTGCCGGTGAGCACGTTCATGAAAAGCTCCGCGGTCACAATCTCTCCGGCGTAGTCCACCTTGCAGCCCTTGTAGACATCAGGAGAATCCTCCCCCGGCTTGTTGAACAGCTGGCCGGGAAATGGGTTCTCAGAGCTCTTGGCGACATCATCCTGCATCATGAGGATGATGTTCTCTGCCGGCACTCCACTCTTCAGCATGATCTGATAGGCATGGCAGGCGTCCGCCTGGTGGCGATAGTTGTAGAAGCCCGCAGACCCCGCCGCGATCACGGCCCACTTGTCCGCCAGAGCGGCGGCGGGCAGCAGCAGAGCAGACACGGCGCGGAACATGGCGGAGCGAGTGAGCTGAGATAGCCCAGAGAGCCGAACTGGAGCGAAGTTTGCTTCAGCCAAAATGGCTACGGACAAATCAGAGTCGAGCAAACAAAGTTGAAGACCTTGATTTCCAAAATGAAAGCACTGGGTGAAGGCAGTACCCTCCAAAACCGCTAGGACATCCATGAAAATTCAGGCCAGATCTTGTGAATTTCAAAAACGGTCAACAGCCCTTCGCATAAGTTTCTGGGTTGATCTATATCATAAGACCGGAAGAAGCAAATGATACATTGCTGAAACCTTCACGGGGATGATGACGTGATGCTGGGTGAACCATTGTCGTTCAAAGTCGACCTTTAAAAGCTCTGACATGGGTCCGGCTAAGCACTGTTGCGCGTGCCAAGCACACACTCGCAACCAGTCTAAGCAATCATACAGTCCAAATTCCAAATATTCACTGGCAGATGGACTGCAGAGCACAGGATTAAGTTGGCAGCAAGGCCTCACTCGCCATCAGCTCGTCCGCTGAACTACACCACCAGCTGAGCGCCCCTGGCCTGGGCGCACTGATCCTCCACGATGCTTGCCAGCTGCTCAGGTGTCTTGCCCAACATGGCCTGCGCTTCGCACAGGTTCAGCAGCACCCGGGAGAACTTCATGTTGTAGCCGTTCCAGCCGCCAGAGGAGTGATGACTCTGCGAGGCAGGGCACTTCGCGTGCAAGGTGTGGGCCAGCTTGTAGTGGCAGTCCAGGTCCTTCATCTCGACGCGATCGCCCAGGAGCCCCTTGGCGCAGTCTACCTTGTTCACATCCGCGCAGGCCGTCATGGCGATGCTCTCGAACAGCTTCTCATCGGCCTCCCTGTCCTCCACGACGCGCAGGAATCGCTGCCAGGCCTTCGGCTTGGCATCGCCCTCCGCTCGTTGCCAGGCCCAGTAGGCTTGGCTCACGTAGATGTCGCGAGCATCCACCGATCGCTTGGGAGGCGCGGAGGCCGCCAGGGCGGTTTGAGACTCCACCTTGCCGATGGCCTCGTCCTCGAAGGACTTGTCGCCGAAGCTGCAGACGTGGCTCTTGTTGGTCAGCTGGGTGACCTTCGCAATCTGCGTCTTGAAGGTTTCGGACGAGAGCTTGCCCAGGTCGTCGTCCTGCATCCAGTTCACAGAGAACAAATCACCCAGGCAAGAGCCAATGTTCTTGCCCTTGACCACCGCCTCATCGCCGCAGTAGGTGCCCCAGGAAGACTCCTCACCATTTGAGGCGGTCACTGCCAGGATCTTGCTGTCATCTGCCAGGTCCGGGAACATGGATCCACTCTCGCAGGCCTCCATGTAGAACACCATTTGGCTGAACATCTTCTGGCTCTGCATGGTCTTCAGCGTCTTAGAGAGATCCTTGACGTGCAGCACAGGGCCGTTGGGGAAGGCGACAATGCCCGGGCCTCCGTGGTCCACAAAGTTCACGAAGACCGTGTCTTTCTCCGTGCTCTTCAGGACCTTCCCCTTGGCTTTCTCTGCGTTGCCGGTGAGCACGTTCATGAAAAGCTCCGCGGTCACAATCTCTCCGGCGTAGTCCACCTTGCAGCCCTTGTAGACATCAGGAGAATCCTCCCCCGGCTTGTTGAACAGCTGGCCGGGAAATGGGTTCTCAGAGCTCTTGGCGACATCATCCTGCATCATGAGGATGATGTTCTCTGCCGGCACTCCACTCTTCAGCATGATCTGATAGGCATGGCAGGCGTCCGCCTGGTGGCGATAGTTGTAGAAGCCCGCGGACCCCGCCGCGATCACGGCCCACTTGTCCGCCAGAGCGGCGGCGGGCAGCAGCAGAGCAGACACGGCGCGGAACATGGCGAAGCGAGAGAGTTGAGATAGCCCAGAGAGCCGAACTGGAGCGAAGTTTGCTTCAGCCAAAATGGCTACGGACAAATCATAGTCGAGCAAACAAAGTTGAAGGCCTTGATTTCCAAAATGAAAGCATGGGCGTCGATACTCAAGCAAGCTTTCTCTCATCAGATGCCAAGCCAGCTGAAGTTTCTGACATGGGATGAGTCACCTAATGGGACAGCAGGTGATATCATGTGGCTGCACACGTCTCGGCTGCACGACATGGCCATGGGTCAAAATCCAAGTCGTACCCCCAGTGAACATCCCAATCCAACCACTAAATTCTATAAAATAGGTCCTAAAATGGGTGGTGAATTCACCTACCAACCAAAATGGGATCCTATTGGTTTTGACCCACAGCCACATGAGTTCCCCAGGCACCCGCCCGAACATTGGCCTGCAAGGAGTCCGCCAAATCCTCCTCCTCACCGGTCAGCACGGCGATATCCTCAGAAAGGTTCAGCCAAATGCGACCACGGCGTGAAAGGGTATGGGTCAAAATGAAACCACCGAAAAACCGAAGGATTTAGTCCTTAATTGCATTTACCCACAGCCAAACTTGTTTGCTTCCTACAACCGAAGCACAAGACCAGCGAGCCGCTCTAGTTGCTATACGTTCCCAAGGAAAGAAGCTTCATCGAAGGGCCTGAAACAGGATGTACAAAAGTGTTGTGAAAGGAAAAGACTAAGGCTGCGCTTTTTCAGTTCCACCGAGCCATGTTTGCGGTGGCCGACTTTGCCGGTGTCCGGGC